CGGTGGGCTTTGGTCGGGAAGGGGTTATTGCCCCCAAATTTTTAAAGGTTTGGGGGTTTTGGCAGCTCCCCCTAGGAGAAGTTTTAAAAGGCCAGCAACCTTTTTTTTTTTGCTCAGCAAAGAAGGCTACCTTCTCCTTTTCCTTCGATTTTATGGTGGAAAAAAAACCCCCCTTTCTATTTTAAAGGTAAAAAAAAAAAAAAAGAGTTGCTGGCATTTTAGAACTTCTCCTAGTGGTAGCTGCCAAGATCCTCACACTTTTAAGCATTTGGAGCCAATAACCCATTCCTGACAACAGCCATCATGGCAGACAAACAGAACACTGAGTTGGTCAAATCAAATGTCTCCCCCATTGATCACACACATCACTGTTCCAATCCTTCACTTTCATTACTACTGTGGCCTATTGTAACTCAAAGTCCCTAATTGCTAATCAAATGCTATAAGAGCTACATCAAACTTGCTCTTTTTTGAAAAAAAAAGGAGTACACATGGAATGCAGAACCTGAGTTCCTTTAAACTATTTAAAGTGCTTGATAAAACAGATTTTGTAAGACTTACCATTTTCTTCTTTTAGTTGCTCTGAAATTAAAGCAGAATGTATTTTTCAATGGAGACAAGAATAAAGTAATACTTGAAAATTGTGCCCTGTGTTAGATATACTGGGGTATTTCCAGATAAGAAACCTTCCCATTGTGCCAAACATCTGATTTTACAATTAAAACCAAGTAAGGATTGGGTGGGTTGTTCTGATTATTACTAAAGGTGGTTGATACCTGGACTTACATTCATGGCTGTGTTGGTGCCAAGGTCCTCACACTTTTATGCAATTGGAGCACTTAACCCAATCCTGATACTAGCCATGTAGTCAGAGTAAGCAGAACTCAGAGGTGGTGAAATCAGATGCCTCCTCCAATGACCACACATCTCCTGCCCCCTCCTCTGGAAACAATCCTCAACTTCTGGAAGCTGTTTTTATTATATTATTAATTAGAACAACCTGAGTCAGCGTAAATTAAGGGTGAGTGGTCTACGGTTTCTTGTTCCTGTTTAGGGTTACCAAATATCTGAACCGGGAAAGGAAGACATGGACAATTGGAAAGGAGGAAAAATGGGGGAAGAAGGAGGACACACTAACTGTTAAGCTTTCTTGCCATCTGTGACAAAAATTGCAGTGAAAAAGTGCAAAACCCCCAAAAATGTACTTAAGCCTACATGCATATAAAATTACTTTTTCCAACATCAGAAAGACTGGATTTTTAGTCACAGGAATGTGCTAGAGCTGGTTAGGAGGCAAAAGCCTTCAGCGTGTAACTGATCTAGGTATTGGCAATTTCAGGCAGCAGGGCAAGCTGACCAGAGTCTACTAAATTAATTTAGGTTAGAGAGCTGAGCTGCTTAACCTGCTTTTAGCACTTATTAGGGATGCACTGCACTATGGAGAATAGCTGCACAGGCAGCTTGTTGGATACTCAAAAATACGCCTGCCAGACAGAGGACATGAGAAGAAAAAGGAGGACTTCTCCTCCTTTTGCCAGAAGTCTAGTAATCCTACCCGTGGTCTCCCTTCATCTCCCCCAAGAACATACCCAAAAACTCTAATTAAGTTTCAGTTTTGCACCATTTTGAGGAAGAAAACACAGAGAAGGAAGAATCAAGCAAAATCAAATCTTTCTACAATCAAAAAGAATCAGAATGGGCTACAGTTTTCTAACTGGGAAATGCAGGGATCACAGGAAAGTTTATAAAACCGTCTTCACTTTCACTGAGGTCTTTATGCATTCAGACTTTTTCAAACAGATTCTTGCTTCCATTATCATCACTTCAAACTATTAGATTAAAAAACATACATCAGTAAAAGACTTACGATTTTCTCCCAATAAAAGTTCTGCAATACAAAAACAAAAACCATTCTGGTTTAAGTAATAAATGTGATTTTACATAACAATTATCTTAAGGTTTAAGTATTTGCTTTTAGAAAGGAAGCATAATGCTGAAGACATATGTAGCTGTGAAAATGCTTCTACATCCCAAGTAAAGATAACAAGCAGAAGAGTTGATAATAGCATTATTAACCTCTCCCTTTTGGAAGAGCACTTGCCACATTGGAAACCCTTGGGATATAAAATAGTGGAAGCCAAAAAATGAAAGCTTCTCTGCAAATTATAAAGAAATCCAATTCTAAATAGACAGAAGAAAAGAAACAAAATATATAAACACGAAGATTAATGGTTGGGGTTCACCTCTGTGATAGGTGAAATCTAACTGTCACATTGAAATTAGATGTAGGCATATGCACAGACCACAAAGTTGCCTTCAACTTAAAATCCAGTTTTGCAATTCCAAACACAGCTTGTTTCCTGTTTAACTGATTTAGAGGCTTCTCAATTTCATTGGGGCCCCATGTGTAAACCTAAAGATGCAGTTCTAAATTTCCTTTTCTCCCATTGGTTATTGCTCAAAAGGAACAGATTGTTCTCAATTTTCAGTGTGGCAAAATTCAACCAACTTTTCAGAGGTGGTAATAAAATATGAGGAGACACCATATAATTTCCATTTCCATAAAAGAAAATCCCCAGATCAAGATTTTTTGATAGAGCATATTCATATATTGATTTTTTTTAAAAAAGGACACTTAATATTCCTTTTCAGGAGTAGATGGAATTGAGAAGCAAAGTTGATTTCTTTAATGGGATGAAACCTGAGAGGTTTCATATGGATCACTGTAGACCATTGGTTCTCAACGGGGGCGGTGGGAGGATGCTGAGGGG